GTTACCCAGCTGTATATAATGCTTAATTCAAGTATTATAATATCCAACTTATGGGCGCAGTACGCACTACATATATTATGCACAAATAATACAATATTAATAATAATAATAATAATAATAATAATAATAATAATAATAGCCCTGGCAGGCAATCGAGTGCTAAAATTACAAATAATAAATTAATAAATTACAATTTCCAATTATGTGAGTTTGTCTACTTAAAGTAAACATCAAATAATAATGAATTAACCTGGTCTGCAAGCTCTGGAGGACGGCGTTGGTACAGCGCCGGTAAGTCGACAGCGTCTTCTCCCGTATCGACCAACACCGGTACACTGGTACACTGGTACAATAATTGGTGCATAGTCAGTACTGGCAAAATAAATTGAGCTGGGCGGTGGTCTGATGATATCGGCACTTAATAGTCGTGCACGATAACGGCAAAACGCGTCAGGCCCCAACTACCTCGGGCTTTACGACAGTTGCCGCTTACAATTGGCACAAGACGGTTCACGCTCACAACACCCAGAGTTTTACACGGGGTTGAGGCGGCGGCGGGGTTGAGCGGACGCGACGTTATGCGTCTAGCTCGATCGCTGGAAAGAGATAACAATAAAGAAAAAACAGACGCCGGCGGCATAGCTTACAGCTGGTACTCAACGCAAACATCCCGGCGCTGGACAGGGGGGGGGGGTTAAACCATCCCGCGAGTGTACTGAGTCCGAAGCCTTGCTGTAAGGAAGAATGACGAAACGTCGGTGGCGCGAAAACGAGCATGGCTGGTCACCTAGACGCAATACCTGTGGTGTACATTCTTTTTTTTATACTAGTACATGAGCAGGTGCATAGCGATACACTAAGACAATAGCTTATAATAAAAAAATAAACGAATGACCATAATATGGTTCATGTAATAAATCATTGTATGAACATAAAACAAATGCATAGTAATAATACAAATTACAACATGAAAATAATACAAGACACAACAATTACATAATTATTTAAATATGAGTGTAATTACTTAAATATATATAAAAATTGTTGAATTCAAATGTATTAATAAAACCTTTTTCTTATATTAAAGCATATAAGAAGTTAATAATATTGTTCGTTTTTTTATTTTTAAAAGAAAAAGTTAAAAGATTTTTACATTTTAAACAAAATAAAAGATTGTCCTTATTTAAACTATAATATTGTAATCCTAATTATTAATAATTAAAATGTAAATACCTACAACATAAAATAAAAAATTATTTATTTTTTCCTTACCATTGCCTAAAAATAATGATGGAACAGCACCTGGTCTTAATCTGTTCTTTTTCTCATCTTCCTCAAAATGAACACAACATACTCTTTTAGATATTTGTAGTTCTCCAGCAGAAGCAACTCTTAGTCCACATTTTTTTATCCACTTTTTTGTCAATATGAAATCACTGGGATAGGCAAAGAGACTAAGATAGTTTGAACGCCTGTTGAAGCAATTTTTAACGGAACAGCGTGTTCCTTTACCCAAAGTATAGTCCTTTTAAATAAAACATATAATTCATTAAAAAAATGAATTTAAAATATGAATATTAAAAACAGCTAGGGTTTGTTAACAATGATAATATATAAGTTAAAATATAGTACAAGGTAAATACATATTTCATGGTAACATGTAATACTATTTTGTGAAGAAACTAGAGGCTATGTTTCCTTTTATGTGTTGGCTGTACAGTATAATATGATACAAAACAAATAGTATGTACACATTTATTCGTATTTATAATGTAACTATATAAATATGAGGACTCCCCCCATCCCAACACCCATTCAGTCAGGATGTATAAAACACTTTCGAACGTGCAACACTCTAAATAATTAACAGGTGAGTTGGGTCGGTGAGCTGGAATAGCTGGATGTACAGTCATTGAGCACAGTGCTCTCAGGTGACACAAAAGGAGGCGACAACATATTATTATCATTTTCAAGTGATTGGTGGGTAATAATGCCACCGTTGACATATTGCAAGACGGACAATTTTTTTATTTGTCGCACTGTGTACATAGCCAGTGGGTCTATCCCCGGCCCCGCAGACGAATCGAATCGAAGTAATAACATTATACGATTTGGCGGAGCACAACAACCGATGCAATAGGCGACCAACATGCCTTGAGTTACAGGAGAGTAGGAGACCGACGACGCTACGTACATGGTCCGTGTTCGAACAAATATTTTAAGCGCATTTAAAAAGCACCGGTGTCTGGTGGTAATCGAGTCACACGATCACCACCACGACTGGCTCCCTTTTAGGTGTTTTTGTATACTTTATATAATCATTTTTGTTGGTAATCCTATAGATAATATTGATGTTATATTTAACCTAGTTAAATTATGCTCCCTGGCAAATGACTATACCTATATAAAATTATACAAATTGTTATTTTATTGCTGAACTTTTATCTTCCCTTAGTTTGATATGAGATGTTAATTGCTGTGTTGTTACTTAGCTTATTGTGTGTTGTATGATTCTTTTGGAATTGTTTTCTTAACCTAATTCGTAAATATCAACATTTCTTTTGCTACATAGGTATTTCAATTTATACATTAATACAACTAGTAGGAACAAGGAAGCATACTAACGTTGTAATTAGAGTACGAGTACCAGATATAATAATATACTCCATTTTACAAAAAAATGAAAATAAATAACATATTCTCATACATATTTCAATTCTAAAATGCTTTAATATTAATAAAACAATAAATGGTTATTAATGAATGCCTTTTTCAAGTATTACATTATATGGCTAGGCCAGTGACAGGTCGGAACAGCCTTAATTTAAGGTCCATGTTACAAAAAAAAGGTTTCGGTTCAATTTATAATTAATAAGTTAATACTAAAATTATTTATGGTCGTGATGAACTGCGATGAACCTCTTTTCATATCCAATGGGAAGAGTTCCATTTCATTCGCGCGTGCTATTGTAACACGTACAATAATTATTTTTTTTAAATATGGTTGTTTATTTGCTAATTGTTTGTAGGTATTCAAATAGCAAGCGGACATTATGCCAGTTTATAAAAATAAATAAATATTATTATTTATTTATTTTAATATATTATTTTGTTATTTTATTATTAATTAATATTATTATTTTTATATATATTCAAGATGAGCTACCATCATATACTATTACATAAATCTCGATAGGTATCATATTACATAAGATGTTTACCGCGATTATGCATATTATCTATCATATCTATTTTACATGAACATTGAATATGTTTGTGGTTGTACTTTCATGTTTCAATGAGACCCCTTTCCTTAGCCTAAGTCACTTAAACTAAGTCGTATGGCTTGAGGAATTTGAAACGCCTAATGTGTAACAACTAACAAGTTGTCAAGAAGTTGTACATAGCAGTTGCATTGGGGCGCAGCTCTAGTTTTTTCACATATTTGATTTTGTTATGAATGGATGATAATATTAACTCGTATTAATATATTTAAATTTCGATTTATTACTAAAATATAAAAATGTATACCTCAAAAATGGTTTTAAAGCATATATTATATCCAATATTATATTAAGGTATTAAAAAAAAAATTGATTATTTATGAATAAATATAATAATATATTTGTTTAGGGAATTGTTTAAAATGAAGAAAAACATATTTTTATCTATCTTTTATACGCGAAATTTTGATTTCAATAAATTTGAATTCAATAATTTCAACATTATTATTGTAAAAACTTAAATAATAGGTAAATTAATACATTTTGTTATAATATCGTGTTTTAAATTATTTTGGTGGGAATGTGGTAACCCCGTCAATAATGTCATCGGTAGACGTAACAACTCAGTGTTCATAATTGAGTATTTGAGTGTATAAATAAGCTAAGATGACATTTAAACAACTCTAACATAATATTATGTTATAATAGCTGTCCCGGACCCATCATGGACCGAATTTCGAAGTTACGCCACTGGATTTTTTTATAAATATATCAATGAAAAAATGTATATAAACTATAAACTATAACTATAACTATTATAACCATAAACTAGAAGTTGTCATTCTTCTATAAAACCTAAAACAATTTTTTTTTTATTTGCAGGAATTATGCAATTCTGGTAGGAAATAAATTGCTTTATAAAACAAAATAATAACTTTTAGTAAATTAAACTTACTATAGTAAAAAAAACTGTTAAGTGCTCTTTGACACAAATTACAATAATTACAGTTTTCAAAATAAAGTTAATTACAATATAATGTAGTATTAAAAAAAAGAAAATTAATAATGAGTAAATAATATGTATATTATACACAGTGGTTCTTAACCGGTGTTCAGCGAAACACAGATGTTCCATGGACTTCGTATAAGTGTTCCGCCCAAAAAAATATTTAGTTTCATTGTCTTAACATTTTGACTTTTACGGACTTACAACAAACAAGAATATAAGACGAGTGTAACAATATACTGTATAGTGTATAGAATCATTTTAGTTTAATATATTAAAAAAATGTATAAATTATTATTTTATTTAACGACAGTGTACCGCAAAAATTATTTAAAAAATTGAGAACAATAGGTACATGACATAAGATTATAGTATTTTTTTACTTAAAATACAAAATGTCTAAAAAATATACTTAAAAATAGATAACAAAAATAAACATAATAAATTCAAATTACTAGAACATTTTTCAAAAATCACCAATTTTTTTTAAAATTTTCTGTAACTGATTCTATGTTGTAATAGGGCTTATAATATAGTATTTCTGGTCATATATTTTTTTTTTATACACATTGTTTATTATAGATGTTGAAGGCATATACGTATATTTTAAGTAAAAATAACTTGAATAGTGAAATAAACTCCAACAATATATACTCAATAGTTTTTTTTCCCCTTTCGTGATCAATGCTAAAAATTTCTGTTCCAGTAATCTAAAACACAATTTTGTTTATGTTAAAAAAACTTAGGTACTAAAAGGTTGTTGTTTTATATACCTGTCATTGAAGCATCGCAATGTGGTATTAAATGATGTTGGAAAGTTAATGGTGTAATGAAAGTTGAATGTAACCATTAGTCTGAAGTACAAAGTAGTATATATTGTGATAGTTTTAATGGTTCAACTAAAAGTATGGTAAATATCAACTTATGTATTTCTTTTCTAATAACCTTAAAAATATACACATAATCTTAAGACAATGCACAAAAAATGAATGGAAATAATAATATATTTTTCAATACCTGATTTTTGGTAATAAGAACATATTTCCAACGGTAAATCTTTTCCAAATCTTCAACCCAAATCCAAAATGCAACTGATGTTATACTATGAAACTCATCATTTCATCTGAATTATAAAATAATTTAATTAATAGAAATAAGATATAAAAACACAATTTTATAAAACTTATCACGTAAGTTACATACTCAAATTTTGGAAATAGTTCAACATTTATCCTTAAAATAGTCCTAGTAATAGGTTGAATACTAGCAGTAGCTTCAATATATGGAATCACCATGGCACAATTTTTAACAGCAGCAACTTCATTTTGATTTCCTAGTATAATACCTAATTTTTTTGCATCCATTTCTAGAATACTGGTACATAATACATTTCTTTACCCAATCGTATTTATAATTTTACAGGGAAGAACATCAGGAAATTGTAATCCTGATTCAAATTCCCACATCAATTTTTTTGTGTTAAATTAACGGATAGAGAACTATTATTTGGAGTTGAAGATAGGTTTTGTTTGGGTTTTGGCTGTAATGTAATTGACAAAGAATTTTTAGCAGACATTTTTGAAACGATTTCGACCGATGTTTTCATTTCTCTAGAATTATTAGCTGGTTCTAACTCAATGGATATTGAATTATTAGCTGTAATTCGTTTTAATTTTTGCTGAACATATGAATCAAACGAAGACAAGTTATTGATTGATTTCAATGTATCATCTGTACAACCTGAAAAATTATAAATTTGTACAGTAGTTGATTATAATGTTGGAATAAATCACAAGTTGAAATGTATTTTAGTAAGAATATTTTACACACCTGGAACATTGTTTATTTTTTTTGTTGAAAACTGGTCATTCACTGGTACTGGCAAACAATCAGGTACTAATGATTTTACTATTTTATTTTTACCGTTTACCAGTAACACGGGATAAAGTATGTCTTGGGGTCGGAAATGTTTTTCGCACAGAATACTATTTACAGTTAACTGCAAACCTAAACTTGAACTCCACTTATGTACACATCCCTACAAAATAAGCAATAAGAACTTCAATGAACTGACATCAAAAATTGTTTAAAACAGTATTTATGAATAATTATAAAAGTTACCATTGGTGGTGCAAAAAAGGTGACTTCATCAATGTCTTCATCGTTATTAGTTATACATCCTGATACACAGCAATAAGGTTCAAAATCCTGAATTAATAAAACAAAATAAAAATTTCATTTATGTAATAAATATAAAGTAATACTAAAATAACATAACATTAATCTAAAAGAACTAAGGCTAATACCATTTACAAAAGTATATAATTACACTTTCAAAACTGTTAATTAAACATAGGCACAATTTTTTTTATTAATATTGGTAATATTTATATGGACAAAAAAAACGAAATATTTCTAAAAAATTAATTTTACTGCAAGGCAAAAGATAACCCAGGAGTAACTCAAGATAGAGAGAAATTGAAGAAGTTTTATTTTGCAGTTATTTATCTTTAATAGGGTCTAAAGCTGATAAAAGAAAAGGAAAAAATAAAAATGTATTGTTCTTTTAAATTAAATATAATATTAATTATACTTTAAACCTTGGTTTTACGAGTAGTCGAGTCAATATAAACCAACAAGGGAATTATTTCTCCATTGTTCATATGAGCAACATAATTTGATGACGAACAAGATGGTTTATTTATATGAACAGACCCACTATTGTATGTTGACCTTGAGTTCACATTTGCACCATAATTTGAAGACGAACAAGATGGTTTATTTACAAGAACAGACCCACTATTGTATGTTGACCTTGAGTTCACATTTGCACTACAATTTGAAGACGAACAAGTTGGTTTATTTACATGAGCAGACCCACTATTGTCTGTTAAACTTGTTGATGGAATATTTCTTGCTTTTATTTTATCTGTTAAAATCATAAATCATATTTTAGAAATTAAACTAATATTTATTTTCATTATTTTTTTTGTTAAGTTATAAACTCGGTACGAGGCAGTTAAAGACCCAAAACATTTCTACATACACAATAATTTTAGTAAAATTATCCTATTGTTTAATAATCTGGAAACACTGGAAACTAAAAAGAGCCAAGCAGAATATAGTTAAAAAGAAACCTTATGTTTAAATATTTATCACACTTGATAGATTTTGGATAATATTAGATAATTTAATGTAAATAATAAATCTCTAATTTAATGAAAATTTCTCCATTCTCTATTTCAGATAGCAACTTACTTATTTGCTGTAAAATTAAAATAATATTGATATCATATTTTTCACATATTTTTTTTAATGATTTGAAAATACATTTTTATTTGAATTTGTGTAAAGATTTTAAACATAGCTTTACAATAAAAATGAAATATCAAAAAAAATTAATTAAAAAGACATACCTAAGTAATTTACTTGGGTTGACTGATTAAAGATTAACAATTTCTATTTTAAGCATATTTAACTAATATATGACACAGATATGGGTAAGTTTGAAATTAAGGGGCAACAATCCAAAACTTACTATTTCCATTTTTTACTTTTTTCAGTATTGATGGATCTGTGTTCCGAACTAATATATCGTAATTTCACCAAAATATTATAAAATTGTATTAAATATTTATTTGTAATGTTCCCTAAGTTTTATTATAGTTCAATGTCTAAGCTTATTGAATGTGCCAAAATGTACAATTTCAATCTATTAGTAAGTTTTTACATATATTAAATTTGAAGGATTTTGTTAGGAGTGTATTGTTTTATATATTTTTTTTTTTTGGTTACATTTTAAAAAAAATATCAAAATTAAATAGCTTTTTTCTTTGTTTTAATATAATATATAAATATCACAGATGTATACTTATTTTTAAAAAATACATCCATAAGTCACAACTGATATCTTTTTATAAAAATATAATCAATATTAATCATTAATGAAATTTAACCATGAAAAAAAATTTTTATTTGTAAAATAACTATTTTTTATAATAGAAAATATTGTGTTTATAGATATATCATATAAAATAGACATATGCAGTATTTAATTTTTGTAATAATTGATACCAAATTGTAAATAGTTTAGGACATAGGTTCACTACTTGGGAACAAAACTTTTTCTAAAATAATAAAACAAAATATAAAGTTACAATTTATAAATTCATTAATATATTTTATTCATAATCCAAAGTAAGAGTAAAATATAAAATTTACTTTTGTCTTTTGTTAGTCTGATTTAATTATGACTTCTGAGGTTATAGACAAGACTGTAGTTTTAGAGCAATTTGTTATCAATCATAATAAAGGTAGAGATTTGATGATTTAATAACAGCATATAAATTATACGATCAAATTAAAATACATAATCCTCACAATATGTATTTATAATTTAGTTTGGCCATAATATAATTAAAAATCTGTGGTATAAAAATTGTTGTATTCAAATTTATTAATGAAACCTTTTTTTCTTATATTAAAGCATAAGAAATTAATAATATTGTTCATTTTTTTCTTTTTAAATGAAAAAGTTAAAAGATTTTTACATTTTAAACAAAATAAAACATAGTACTTACCTAAACTATAATAATGAAATCCTAATTATTAATAATTCAAAAGTAAATACAAAATAAAATAAAAAATTATTTATTGTTTCCTTACCATTGCCTAAAAATAATGATGGAACAGCACCTCGTCTTAATCTGTTCTTTTTTTCAATATTCTTGAAACAATCTTGGTCAAAATGAATACAACATACTTTTTTATATGTTTTTAGTTTTCCAGCAGAAGCTACTTCTAATCCACATTTTTCTATCCACATTTTTCTCAATACGAAATCACTAGGATAGGCAAAGAGACTAAGATTCTTTGAACGCCTGTTGAAGCAATTTTTAACAGAACAGCGTGGTCCTTTTCCCAAAGTGTAGTCCTTTTAAATAAAACATTTAATTCATTAAACATTTTTTTTTTTTAAATATGAATATTAGAAGCAGCTAGGGTTTGTTAACAATTATAATATACATGTTAAAATATAGTACAAGGTAAATATATATTTCATGGTAACATAATACTATTTTGTGGAGAAACTAGAGGCTATGTTTCCGTTTATGTGTTGGCTGTACAGTATATGATACAAAACAAATTATATGTACACATTTATTTGTATGTAATGATCCAATTAAAAGTCCACAAGATAATGATTTTCTTACAGGTGATAATGATCAGATAATGATTATACACACAGCTCTTTATTTGGGCGTTAATAGTTGGCTATTTTTATATTATATTTTGCTCATTAAAGTATTTCAATAATGATGATAAACATTCTGGTTGTTTGTGTAAAATGTTCAGTTGCTATTTTAAAATAGAAAATTGGTTCTTGCAGTATAACTTATCATTTTAATTTATGGCGTTATTTTTTGTATCAAATTAGATATCTCATTCAAAAACTAAATAATGTCACTCCAGGTATTCATGTTTACTAATAATTAATGTTTACTAATTAAATTCATTATGAACATTTTAATATTTTCATCAAATCTGAAGATTATTTCTATAAGAAATTGAGTAAAAATGTACAATAAAACAACTTTACACAACCAATATGCCTCTTAAAAACATTTATATTATAATCTACAGAAATGTATTAAATGAACCAATTTTTAGTATTCTCTTTTTTAGCTAAATCAAATTTTGGGCTCCTTTTTTATGTATCTTTGCGGGCTTCATAAAATTTCATTTAATATAAAATGAGTATTCCTGTAAAAACTCAAATTAATTTCATTGGCCCCTGTACTCCAGGTCCATTAGCTCCCCCCTTCTTGTGGGTAACTTGCTTTCACTAAACTGCTTTTAGGTAATTCAGGTAGAACAATCCCTAGTAAATATGATATAAAAAATATGTTTTGTCATTTTTTTATTAGTGTGCAAATTAATGAAGTTTAATTAGATCTTGTGATTCTAAAATTGGAAATTTGAATGAATATAATAAAAACTGCTTTATTCAATATTTTTGAGGGACATAGATGTATACATGAAGTAGAATAATTAAAAACAAAATTAAATTTAAAGATGATCCTCCTATGAAGGCTGCTTATCAATTGTTTTTATTCAAAAAACCTCATATTGTATGAAACGTCATATTGGTATCATTACTATCAGAACTTTTATATTTTCTGACTAGCTACAAAATGTCTATAGTAATACCGGCTTATATAAATGGGGACATAAAATACTGTTCCAATTAAAGGATAAAATAACACATAAAATATAAACTTGCCAAAAATTCCTGATTAAGTATATTTTTTTTGGTAATAATCAATTTGGATTTAGAGATGGGCCAGATAAGTTAGATATTAAAAAAATGTTTCACTCGGTTATAGAATACTATAGAATAAGAGGTACTCTTCTAAAACTCATAAAATCGAATTAATCTTATAGACATCAAAAAGTCAAAACAATAATACTTCTAGTGATGAATAAATGATTTTTAAAATAAACAATTCCTCTAATGATTTTTACTAACATTGTTCTTTATGAAAACTCATGTGTAAGAAAGCAAAAAGATTGTAACTGTCCAATTATAAAATAAAACTGGTATACTCTAGTACTCTACTCACCAAAACTTATTCATTTATAATTTAAAATCTTATTTTACACTGAATGTTTGTAAAATTGTGTTTAGATATAAGAATAGTATTATTACTTCTATTAATAATTACAATACAAAATAGGAGTAAAATTAATTTAGTTCTACCAAGGTATAGACCATATTATGCTTTTAATAAGTTTTGAATTGAGTTTGGAATATATGTAAATTCAATTCTATCAATAATTATATAAAAATGAAAAATATGTTTTTAAAAGCAGGCACAGATCTAAGTAATTTAACAGAGAGTGCTCAAAAAAATAATAATATCTGACTATTTTAGATTATGTAATTTATTAATATTATTAATTTATTTTATTGGTGAATAATAGCTTAGACAACAGAGGATGCCCAAGCGTCTAAAATCTAGGCTGTTTAAGTATAAACTTTTATTGTAACTGTTTAAGCTTCATTTTGTTACTTAAATCACCACACATTTTTTCTCAATAAATATATTTTATGAACACTAATAATTGCAAGAAAGTAATTTTATTTTCTGTTATTAATTCTAACAGCTAATAAATATTAAGTTATATTTTATCTTCTCTATTTTTACAAGTACACTTAGTTATCTCAGACTTATTACTATTTTAGGACATACTATGAAGTTACAGTTATCAACTATTATTGTATAAGACATATATGTTTTGTTTAATATTTTATAGGAAAATTTTTACCACTCCCAATGGTCTACCAGTTCTCACCAGTTCAATTTTCTCATAACTAAGGCTCGGATTTTGTAGCAAAATAAATAATTGAAAAATCAGTTAATGTAGCCAAAAAAATCCAAAATAAGAATTTATTAAATTTAATTCTTAAAAAACAAATTTAAATTACACATAAAATTAAATATTAAAAAAGCAATTTACAACCATATATTTGGTCAAATGACTTTCATTAAAAGTCATCCTATTGGGTGCTAATATATTTTTATACATAGAAAAAGACCTTTCCACAACAACCGATGTAATTAGTGCATATTTCATATATGATAAATCATTTTAATCATACTGTTCCACATTGATGTATAGTGCAGTTTCATAATGAATACTATTGATTGATTTTCATTTTCAACTTTTGGAATTTTGACGATTACAGGGAAATTATTTAGAACACTATACCTTGATTGATTGATATTTACTGGTTATCTAAAGTATTAGAACGTGCTATAAAAATTTGCAGATATAATTCAGATAATTTTCCCTTTCCTTAAGTCGCAAATACAACTGTAACTACGGGCATACAATTGTAGATAAAACTATACAATTTCGGCAATTTAGGCAACCTAACCTATTTTATTAGTCATCCATTTATTACTGGTTTTATAATTACTGGCAATAATAATATAGTTAAAGAATAATATATATAGAAATAAGTTAAATTTTCAAGAAAAATATGTAAAAAATTAAGAGAAAAGAATAAAATAGGGGATAAAGCAATAAATAGCAGGTTTTGTGGAAAAAACAAAAAAATATTTACTTCATTGAAATCAGAACGATTCAAATGTATTTATACATAACAATTATGTTTCTATCACACTCTCCTCAAAAGAAGCATTTGCTACAAAATCCTAGCCCTACTCATGATTGAAATACTGCACCAGTAATCTACAACATAATTGTAGAAAGTAAAAACTAACATTTATAATCATTTAATGTTATAAATTGTAATAAGATAAATGGTTATCAAACAATTATAGATAGCAATAATAAAAATTGTTGTGACAGACAAAAGAACAATGAGACAAAAAAATCACAAAAAAAAAACTAGTCATTATTAAGCTAGGATAATAATTTTAAAATATATCTTGATAGTCAATCAACTTGATATAAAATATAAAATTGATAATAAAATAATGATGTTTTTTTTACTATTAACAAAAGACAAACTATTTACATAAATTTTGAAAATTCAATGCTGGGATAATTGAAAACACGTGTACTTTAAATCGATAAACTTATAGTCAAACCTTTTTTAAATAGCTGCAACTGATTTGCACTTCGACAGTATTGTATAAATAAGCTACTGTGGTGCCCTTCAAAAGTATTTTTAATAAATGCTAGGAACTTAGGAAATTAGGTACTCAAAATATTTCTGACCAAACTCTTATATTATTATTACCTTAGTACTTGTTGACAATGGTACAACATCTGTTTTAGTGACTGTGGAAATTTGTTTCTCAAATAGTTCAGTTCGGATCTTCGGCACATTTTCATAAATCATATTTTCATTAGTTGTAGTAAGTTTAATTTGTCTACTTGATCGTCTTGGTGATGCATAATGATTTTTAATACGTTCCTTTCTGAAAATAATGATGATTCTTTGTGTTCATTCTCATCATTATAAGACATTTTTTTATATTTAAATAATTTTACAAACAAAATCTTGTCGAATATAATTGTTATTAACTTACCTTAACAGATTTTGTCTGATCGGTACATATTTATTATTTTCAATTTGAATGTTCTTATTACTTTGAGCAATGGAACTGTATAAAAATTAAAATATTATTAAAAATTAAAAATTAAACTATACAGATCAAGAAGCATTACCTGTAGGGCAAACAATTTTCAACAAATTTTCGATTAAAAGGCAGGGGTACAACGTTCCTATTTAATATTCGCTTTTTTATACTTGGCCTATAATCTTCTATTGAAAAATGATCACTACATATCCGTTGCCCATCGTCACAATGATCAATTCCAATAGCTCTGAGCCATGTATTTTTTCTTAATGGATTCTTAGGAAATCTTTAATAAATCAAATACCAATAAATACAATAATTGGTAGTGTTTAAATAAAAATTAACACAATATAGAAATTTGCTGGGCTCAACCGGCTTAAAATGTTTGCACACGGGGATAATGACCATGTTAATAATATGGTACAAAAATCCAGGAAAGCTTTTTTTCACATCGGTTTGAACGAACAAAATTTCTTGAAACAATAGATACTCACGAATGATAAACAACTCTAGGAAGAGTACCTCTGGTTTTAAGAGAATCATTACTACACATTATGCACTTAGGCATTTTTAAGATGTGGTGTTAGATATTATCAAAAATAAAGTGAAAATAATATTAATATAGAAGCAAACTCGTCAAAACCAATTTAACAATTCAGATAACAAGAAAAATAAAACTTCTTATATTGATTAGATTTGTTTTTCACTAATTTCATGAGATAATATATTAATTATTAAAAATGAAAGTTTGAACGTCATAAAATATGTATCTATTAATTATTTAGCCAAACACTTAATACAAACAAATTATTCTGTCACTAAACATTAGCAATTACTCGAACTACTGATTTACTACGAGAAATATCTTGTGGTATACTACCTAGTATACTACGAGTCGAACCCGCGTCGGATGTCGGGCGTCATAAGTGACGCTTGGACGCTTGTTTTGGACAGTGTAGCCATATTGTGAAAACCAAATTCCACAAGTGTCAAGGATAAAAAGCGTTACGATTGCACTACGGCGGAATCATTTGAATTCGACTTGTATCCATAGACGGAACATTAGGCCCGAGGACTGGGAGGCGTGGTCATGCCAAACGGATTAAGAGAGATAGCATGAGTTTTATCATAAGAGTGAGAGAAGTGTCCTCTGCTCCGAGGACAGCGAATTACATAGCTCTAACAGTGCCCGATCACGAGGACAATTGCATGCGTAATGCGTTATCATACCTAATGTTCCGTCTATTTCTATAAGTCTATGCTTGTATCATTATTGTTCGGACCATAGTAGGTTAGGTATAAGGAATTTCATAATATACAAAAAAGACCGGAAACGAAAAATAATTGTACAACGATATCAAAAACTGAAATATTATAAAAATGAAAATAAATATTATAAGACGATAAAAAAAAATATTTCTAATCGAAAAATTGGTGAAATGTATTTTTTACTAATTGTTAATTAAATATTCATCAGTGCAATCGATGTATTCTATATAATCGTAATGTTGAACCTCTGAGTTCAGGATAATTTGATTTTTCACTCTAGAACTAGTGTTTCTTTTTTCTAATGCAGTTTTAAAATTGTATTATATTTTAAATTTGAATATTAAGAATAAATAATTTTAACTGATATGTTAATTAAATGGATTTTTTTTTGTCTTTGTACAATATGAGTTCACTATGGTTGAATACTTTGACAACGTAAAACATACAATTTTGACTTTTTGTCCTTAAATGTGCTGTTGTAGCAATATTAATTTAAAGGGTTGTTACTTATATGTTTATACAATAAAGGTTAATGCGTAGCGCTAATCTACTATACCTGGCCACGCTATAATATGTTATTTGACATTGAGTGCTGGCAGCAATGACGAAATAGTTTATTAGTTATGCGCCATGACGTATATACAATATATGTATACATTAGTCGACATGCATGCCGATTCGGGAAAGTTAGTGGAGGGATAGTGGATTTAGCTTATATAATTACCAAGGTCTTAGATTGTTACTCTATAAGCTATACTTTAAACCGAATAGTAGATCACGTGCAATCGTTGAAGATGTGTGTTCTGCGACTGTATAATAATAGTAAATTAGTAATGCAATTCCAGATATTTTATCTGTTGAACCACCTGGCACAATCATAGACGTATAAAACAGTATTGTCGGATAATAAATGACATGCCACTTATTTCAGTGTTATAGCAATGTATTTTGTATCGGAGGGGTAACAGGGGGTAGGGGGCTCTAGGCAAGGCCGTAACTGGAAATTAATTTCGGGGGGGGTTTTAATCCAAAAATGTGTGTTCTAATTGTATTATAATATTGTGTAGGTAAATAAATATGGTTAAAAATTCATAATATTGTAGAATTATAAATAGTATTTATTAATGAAATTCACTTAAATTTTCAAATAAATAAATTAAACACTTCGTAAATCGTAGCACAATAAAACGACAGAACGTAAACCAAATGTCAACTAAATATTGGAAATGAATATTGCCCGTGAAAAAGTTTTAACTATCATCAAAGACTNAACCCTCCCCCCAGGTATGTCCTTGGCTCTAGGCAGTGCTCGGAATGGAAATTTGGACGAACAGGAACGCTTATAAAATTAATACATTTTATGTCAATATGAGTTTTGACGAAAATAATATTAACTTTTTTTTGTTTGCAATAAAATAGCTGCATAATATATATATTCTAAACAAATTCTTATTCTTAATCAATAAAATTATAAAATTATACAATCAAGAGTTTATATAATAATACCTTAATTTTTGTCACTTTTTTCACGTTTGTGACTTGCATTTAATTGTATCATAAGTGCAGCAGTGCCGTAGCTAGAAGGGGGAGCCTAGGGCTTAGCCCCCTTCCCAAAAATTAAATTTATTTGAGGTATTTAATATTAATTGTATTTGCAGGTCTTTAAATTGTACAATTTGTACTTCGAATCATTGGTAAAATTAAGAGTACAAATGTGATAGAGATGGGTATTTCACTTAGATATATAATAATTTAATTAAGAATTAATTGCTTAATTAGTGGGTATATAATTCATAGTAGGTCCATATTTACAACTAGGTATTTCTTTGGTTGTACTTGAAATGACCAATCTTAAAAATATGTATAATGTCTTTTGTGAGCACTGTGCATCTGTATATCAGCACGTCGACAGTATAGACTAGACTCATCCTGTTTATGATTTTACGAATCACATATGCATATTACGTACTGTCATACTCAATACTCTTGTTGTAGTATTTGTGTGGTCAATTTTCATTAATACAACTGTTTTTATTTTATTTTATTTTATGTTACTTTTTGTTGCTTTTACGTATTATGTTACAAATTACGATTGATGCAACTTAGTTGTAAATATGAAGACAATTTTGTGCCCCTTCTGTGAAACATTTCTGAATCCGCCCCTACACCTATCGACCCTTCTAAATAGGTATAGGGCAGTAGATTAGTGCAATTAATGTATTAGGATTAAGATAGAAACTAAAATATAAAATATAATTTTTTAACTATATAGAATCACTGCAAATTGAAACAACCCTCACAGTCACTCTTAAATAAAATTTAATAATGCAACAAATAAGTCTTTCGGTGTCACGTCGTATATAGTGGTGAATTCGTTCGGCGACGGTGAGACACGACCGGTCGGAGCCACGACAAGTTTTGTAAACAGGTAAAGCCATAAAAATAGTTGTTTGAATTTCAGACAATAAAATAAAACCGCTGTACCCAATCTAACCAACTACATATATACAATACATGTATCTGTATATATTTATGGTACATGTTTATCTATATAATGTATTGCTGCATGACTCAGTCATATATTATTATACAGCAACAACCCTCGTCGATACCTGCAGTGATGTATATATATATATATCATAGTGTATATATATATGTATATATAATAGTAGTATATAGCTGCAGCAGGTGGTACCCATTAGTTGTATAAAAGAAATTCCAAACCGATGCGGGCGATATTATACATGATAATATTATTTTTGTACTTCGTACATATTATATTATAATATAACTCATGTGTCGGCCACGAATGCGGCGCAGAGAAAATACAACAGCCTAAGAACACAATTTTCAAGGTTAGTAGAAAATAGTAAGTTATGGTAAAATGTAAGTTAGGTATATCGTATATATATAATACTCTGGAAATATTACGTTCTTATGGACCTAAAGTATTATTGTTGATTTGAATACGAGCATCATAGCGAGCTCCGGTATAATAATATTCTCATATTATTAGTTATTACTTATTTTTGTCGGGGACATGTTTTATGGAAGCCGATGTATGTTTCGTCATAACTACGGTCGCGACCTTCGGATGTGATGTTAAGGATGGGTGGGTGGTGGGGCGGTGGGGGACTGCATCGACGGCGAACATGACCACAAATTACTAAATAATTACAGCCACGTCGACACGGGACACTGGTTATTTTACTCAACACGACAAAAAAAAAAATTATACACATGCATGACGCGTGCGGATTGAGCGACATTTTTTGTTGCTTTTAAAATATAACTGTCACCAGTGACGCCCGAAGACTTAATGTTCAATTTGTGCAAGCAACCGTCAGGGTAAACTCGTCTATAATGTCGTAATGGTTTATTTGAATTCAATAAATATCTAGGTAGGCTTGCGCAGCAATTTAATATGGGGTGTTCCATGAAGATATTAGACCATTTCTCTTAAATGGGCCTTAACAAACATAAGCTACCCTTGCCCCCCCCCCCCCAGAAAAAAAATAGAAAAAATGAAATTCAAAGTACAAATTCATAAAAACTCATATTGAGTAATACTTATCCTTGTACATGGTTGTGTTTCACAAAAATATTTTATATATTTTAACAAATATATTATTACACATCAAATACGTAGGTATATTTTACTATATTTTCAAAGGTATTTTTTTTAATAATAAACTACAATACACCTTCATTAGAATTTTGAATAAAACCATTGAATCAATCAACTTAAAATAAAATGGGTGTCGCAATAGTACGCGTGGATTTAGTTGAAACTTCTTTATAGATGGAATAAAAAAAAGGTTATCACTTATCGCCCATCACGGGCAAATATTAAATTTGTATTGAAAAAATAAAAAAATAAAATTTTCAGTTGAAATTAATTTATTATTATTATGCAATTATAAAGACAAATTAATTATTATTTATTAGTTATTATCATAGAAACCTTTGTGTCGAGTAAGCCACACGCCTATCGCCCACACCCGTCACACATTTTGGTCGCAACGGCTGAGCCCACTTCAGACACTTGTCTAAAGAGTAGGTTCATTTCAATACAATTTTTAATAATTAAATGTTAAATCTAGATAGTTCATGTTAGAAATACACACCTTGGTATAAAAATTAATATTATCACTATTATTTCACTGGTTATCTAAATTAGTTCACAAATAATCTTCGTGTGCTATTTATTTTGTAGCCTGAATTTTAAACAAAGCCACAGAATTAATAAAAGTCGTACAAACAGCCACAGGCCACGAAGTGTGCCGTTACAGCTTATAGCTACGATCAGTGATTAAGTCGTAATTTTAGTGAGTAAACGCTTATTTGTGCTTGATAGGTAAAAGTGGGGTTTCGCCCCCCCTATACATATCACTATATACTACGAAAAATTAATTTTACTTAGTTTATTACTGTTTTTTTTTTTTTTTTTTTGGAACAAATGAATAATTTATTACTGATACGAATTTTTTCCAGAGACCTATGTGTTACATATTAAATGTTTAAATAGTTTTTTGTTTTTATTATTTATTATAATTAAAATGTTTCAACATATTACATGTTATACAAGTTTGTTATTTCAATTAATACAATTTAGAATTTAGAATTTAATTTGAATATAGTATGGATGATCAGAAAAAGTGGGAGTGATGAGGAGTGGAAATTTATTTATTAGAGTCTAGAGATGTTAAAGCTGCTAAGAGGGGGTTTAGTATTAATTTTAGCTCGTTAATGAGATTTGTGACGATTTGGAGACGTTGATCGGATGGTGGTGTATTTGCTGTGGCTTCGGCATATGTGAGTTTTTCCCTTGGGTTTGAGCGTAGCGTAACATGCCCACTTCTGTGGGGTGCAGGTGGTACAGTTTGAGTGTGTGTGTGTTGATTATCTCTTTTTGTTGTTTTGGTTTTGGATTGAATGCGGCTTAATATTTTTTTGAAGGTTTTAGTATATGTACTGCCGAAGCAAGTACTAAATTGTTTAAAACGTTAAACAGTCATTC